ATTTACTAAGATAGGAAATGATGGGAGAAAAAGGTTAGGGGAGATTTGGAAGGAGGAGTTCTATTTGGGGAATTTTCAGTTTGAGATGCCTATTTTTGATATATTTTTCTTTTTTATTTTATATTTATAAGACTGGATAATATATAAGAAGCTTTAGTCAAATTAAGAGGGGAATATTTTAAATCTTTCTTTTTCAGCAAAAAATCGTGGAATTGCCATTCCAGTGGATCTGGACAGCCAAGTTAATACTCTTTTCATGAAGAGCCATTCAAATATGGTGCAGAGAGCAGCCATGGGTTGGAGATTATCAGCTCGCTCTGGACCACGCTTTAAAGAAGCACTTGGAGGCCCTGCTTGGGATTATAGAAATATTATTGAAAAGTTACAGGTACAATGAGAGCATGAAATAGCATTAATATTTTCTAAATTGCAATTTTTAAAACATGTGGTCACACAAATAAAATATGGTTGAAAATATCAAGTTCTAGTTGGAGAACAGCTCTTACTTTACAACTCTCCATCACCACTACCCTGGTAAATACATAGCTTTTAGGCAAAAGTTGTTGTGAGTTGTTTTTTAATGAGTGTATATTATTTAATGTGTTTTGATGGTATGGTAGTGAATGGTGGGCCTTAATATCAAAATAATAGCTACAATACCAGTAATAACATTGGTAACATAATTCACCATAAAGTTTTATGTAATAAATTAAATATTCATAATCTTGCTTTAATTTATCTTTCAGTATTCTACTATAATCCTTTCGGCAAAATGGTCCAAGCATCTTTACTCCCAAATTACTTGCATAGTATCTCACTCATGCTTTTGGCTGGCTGGGCATTGTATTAGTTTGCTAATTAGACGTGGTATTAGTTTGCTAGGGCTACCATAACAGAATACCACAGACTGGGTGGCTTAAACGACAGAAATTTATTTTCTTATAGTTTTGGAGGACAAAAGTCCAAGATCAAGGTGTCAGCAAGTTTGGTTTCTTCTGAGACCTCTCTGCTTGGCCTAAAGATGGCTGACTTCTGGCTGTGTCCTCACATGGTCTTTCCTATGGGTGTGTACATGTCTGTGCCCTAATCTCCTTTTCTTATGAGGACACCAGTCATATTTGATTAGGGCCCACTCATATGAACTCATTTTATCTTAATTACCTTTTTAAAGGCCTTATTTCCAAATATAGTCACATTCTGAGGTACTGTGAGTTAAGATATATTTAGATCTATAAGATATATAACATATGAAATCTGGGGGGAATACAGTTCAGCTCATAACAGACATCTTCCCATCCACATAATTAGTGGAAGATTTCATGGAGTTGAGTTGTGGTATGGTTTGAGGAAATTTTTTTGTCTTGGAGAATGGTCAAGACATGAATGGGAATAAATGAGAGGTCACATGAGTGCTATATGGGGTTAAAAAGATTCAGAGAGTATGAGAAACTTGAAGGGTATGAGTCATTAAAAATGTGGGGGATAATGTCATTATGGGTGATTAAGCAGTTAATGGTTTGCAGGATTGGATTATCAGGAAGAGCCTAGAGGAACACAGGTGAGTTAGGAGTTACTTAAGATGTCAGCCAGGTGGTGATATGAATAAAATAAAGGAACAGGTGTTGCAGACAATCATGAAGGCAGGAAGGGTTAGCAGTCCTTGGATGGAAGTAGAGGAAGAGCGTGAGGGGAGCTTAAGAGGCCCTGATGACTGGAGACAAGGTGACATTATCAAGACTCTATGTTGTAAGAGCAAAGTGGAAAGGACACGGCAGGGGCAATGGCTATGGCCATTGAAAATACACTGAATTAAGTTAACAGGCTACTGGATATATTAGGAGTTCAGTCTATATTTGGAAAGAATAGTTGGAGCAAGGATAGTTGTTGGTATTGCTAAAAGAGAGAATATAGTGATAGGAAAAAATAAAAAACACCTATGAGAGGCTAAGAGTGGCAGAATGGCCAAATTAAGAAAGAAGAAACGGCAGGGCCAGAAAGGAGGAGGGTGAGGGTCATGAGGAGAGTCCAAGGGAGTAGAACATCTCAGAGGAGAGGTAGGTAGGCGTGTCAACCAGCATAGAGAGAGTGTGCCTGGCACTTCTTTTAGTACAGTGATTGGCATCCATTAAGTAAATATTTATTTAGTGAAAACTCTATACTAGCCATGTGGTAAGTGCTGAGGATAGAGCCATGGAGTCTGTGCTCCCATGGAACGTACATTCTGACTCATTAAACAAATGATAAAGTGTTAGACAATTAAAACTGCTATGAATAAAATAAAGCAAGCAAACAACGTGGTGGAGAATTACTGGGAGAGTTATCCTGTGAGTAGGGAGTTCCTCTCTAGCAAGGTGACATTTGAGTTGAAGAGGAGTAATCTATTCAAAGACTTTAGGACAGAGAATTTTATGGGGAGGGAACAGTAAAAGCAAAGGTGTGCAGGCAGGAATGAGGCTGATGGGTTTGAGGAATGAAGAGAAGCCCACCGGAGCAAGAATTCAGTGACTAAAGGAGGAAAATACTATGAGATAAGGGGCCAGATCATGTAGAGACTTCCATAGCGCTATGGTCTGAATGTTTGTGTCGCTCTCTCCCCCATTCATATTTTGAAATTCTAACCCCAAAGGTGATGGTGTTAGGAGGTGGGGCCTTTGGGAATGTCTTAGGTCATGAGGGTAGATCCCTCATGATTGGGATTAGTGCCCCTGTGAAACAGGCCTATGGGTGCCCCTGTGAAACAGGCCTGTGGGAGCTCATGCAGCCCTTCCACCCTGTGAGGACATAGCAAAAAGACCCCCTCTATGAACCAGGAAATAGGTCCTCACCAGACACTGAATCTGCCAGTGCCTGATCTTGAATCCCAGCCTCCAGAACGGTAAGAAATAATTTCTATTGTTTATAAGCCACCCAGTTTATTGTATTTTGTTATAGCAGCCCAAACAGAGTAAGACACATAGCAAAACATTCGTATTTTATTCTAACCATGATAGCAAATCATTGGAGATTTTCTGCAGAGGACAGGCTGACTTGGTTTACCTTTAAAAAGATCACTGTGGCTTTTGAGTATATTCTAAGGTCCAGACAGGGAAGCAGTGAATCTAGTTAGGTAGCTTTGCTTTAAATTCAGGCAAATGGTGATGGTGGCTTGGCTTAAGGAGGTAACAATTGTAATGAAGAGGAGTGGATTAATTTTGAATGTATTTGGTTGTAGAGCCACAGGACTTGGTGGATGGATGGATGCATTGTGGGGTGATGGGACAAGGAATCAAGGATGTCTCTGGGTTTGATGTTATCGTATCATTTACTAAGATAGGAAATGATGAGAGAAAAAGGTTAGGGGAGATTTGGAAGGAGGAGTTCTATTTGGGGAATTTTCAGTTTGAGATGCCTATTTGTACACTGAAAGGGGTGTGTCAACTAGGCAGTTGGATATATGAGTCTGGAGTGGTGTGGAAAGATGTCCATGCTGGAAACTTAAATGTGGGAAGTTCCAGCATATATATGAGATGAAAACCATAAAATTGAATGAGATCGCTCAGAAGAAAGCATAGATGTAGAAGAGAAAAGGACCAGGAGCTATCAGGAATTGGTGAAGGAATGGTAAGGATGTAGGTGGAAATAAAGTGCAGTGTCGCAGAAGCCAAGGGAAGAAAGTGTTTCAAAGAGTAGAAACCAGTGCGTAATGTATTTAGCAGTGATTAAGATGAGGACAGAGAAGTAACCATGGAGTTTGGCAGCAGTGTGGTGATTGTAGCAAACTGGTGCTCAATAATAATGATTACTAACATTTATAAGGAATGAGTGGCCAGTATGTGTTAGAGGCTGTTCTGTGCACTTACCTTTAATTTTTGCAGCAAGAAGCTGTGATTTCTAATAACGTTATCCCAAGCTTACACGTGGGCAGACAATGACTTAGAGGTTGCATGGTTGACCCATGATCAGAGTCAGAAATAATGATGGAATTCATGTCATAGCCTGAGCACCATCTGTTTAGTAAAGGAAATAAAGAGGTAATTTAAAAAAGAGGGACCTTTTAGTGACATTGTATTAAATATGGTCATATTTGATAAGCATACTATCTTCCCACCTGTATATAATATCTAGTTTTCCCGTTTATGTTATTTCTTTTCCAGTAGTCTCTTTTAACTGTTACCAGAAATTTCTCAGAAAGCTTATTAGAGTAGTTACGGTAGAAATGATCCCTTTTGCTAAAAGAGAAAGAGTTAAACATGAGTTAACTCCTGAAATCTAGCCATAAGAAATCAAGAGGGTGATATCCCCATCTGTGCTTCTGTAGCTAAGAGTAAAAATAAAGCAATTGGCAGTTTTCTGCTTAACAAAATATGCCTTGGCTATGGGTGAGTAAATTGTTGTTTTATGTGGGAAGTTGGTTTTTTTATTTTTTGTCTTCTCACATAGTTTAAAAACAAAAGGGGGATGCCTTTATTAAAGAATGTTCAGGAAATTATCATTGTTTATAGTTCATTTTAGAAACACATCAGTTAGGATGCTTTCAGCTTTAACACACACAATATTCAGCTAAAAGTGGCTTAACACATTGACTGTCACACTAGAACAAAAGTTTTTTCCTTGGGGCTATGGTATTTTATTAAAACAAAACAATCCTTTCTAATTTGTTATTTTTTGTTGTTTTTTGTCCGTGAGTTATATGCAAACAATCCACGTTTTTAGAATTAAATTGTCAATATTAATTGTAACAATAAGAACATCAACAAGTAAGATTTTCATGAACCAACTGCAGGGTATGCTTCACGAGGCCCCAGGGTCAAAACTAGCCTGAGTTAAATACAATTCACATGGCAGTCAATGTGTTAAACAATAAAGACTGTATCATTTCACATAGCAAGAAACCCTGGAGTTGTGGCTTTCCCTGAGTTTGATTAATTCAGCAGCTTGAATTTTGGGCCATGGCCCCTGAAACCAAAGGTCTGTTGGCTTTCAGCTTAAGGCTGGTCTCCCAAGGTCACATGAGGGCTGCTTCGGATTTTGGATTCACACCCCCAGGCTGCCTTGGGGGCAGTAGGGTGCTCAGCACATACCCCACTCACTCAGCAGACTTCACCCAACGTCTCATTGATGGGGAGGGACTATGTCACATAGTCACGCCTAGACCTATTGTTAGAGGGGGAAATGGAATAACTAAGACTGGCTTAAACTATGCAACCTTGCCCCAAAGCTGAAGGGGTTCATCTCCCCAAGAAAGTTGCCACCTGATTCAGAAACATCAGAATTCTGTTAGCAAGGAAGAGGGTGAAGAAAGGATGTTGGGGAGGTGACCAATAGGGTTTATCAAAAAATATAATTTGAAATGCTATTGGAGCATCACTGAACCCCTTGCTGTAAAGTACTAGTACTGCTTCAAATAATGTATCAGTGCATTTCCCCATCAGAGGAAATAATTAGTTCTGGATAACCAGGGACACATAGCTGTTCCTGGAATATGCCCCATTTTTTTCCAATTTGATGAATACAGTGTCCATTAGAATTCTGGACACTGAAGGCCCATACAGTGGCTTTCATGACTTTTCCTCTTATATGTATATTCTTAGAAACTTACAGCTACCCACCCCTCCCATATCTTGTAAATGAAAAAACAGAGACCCAGGCAGTACTCATACGTGAAACCAGACTATACTTTACAGCACAGACATTGGTGCCATGGGAAGACAGGGTACATCTTCTCTGAAATTCCCCCGTCTCATTCCTGGCTAGTATTCTTAGGTTTGTTATATCTTCAAAAGACAAAATCTGGCTTAGGTCTTCATGAGGGTTCTCTTGTGCTTTCTTTCTTCCTTAGGATGTAGTGGCCTCCTTGGAACAACAGTTCAGCCCAATGATGCAGGCTGAGTTCTCCGTATTGGTTGATGTCTTATACAGTCCAGAACTGCTGTTCCCTGAGGGAAGTGATGCAAGAATAAGATGTGGCGCTTTCATGTCGAAGTAAGTGGATATGCTCTGAGATTCTGTTAGCGTTACCAAACCGAGATGGCCTCTACCATTTCTGCATTTTACTCTGCTGATATGTAATGACAGTCCACAAAATATGTGAAAGGTCTAAAATCCATGTTAAAACATACACTGCCAAAATAATTAAACCGAGTCATTTGAAATTTTATTTTGGTGAAGGTCGAGTTATCATATTTTACTAAAATTTAATGAAAATGAAGCATGTTATTATTGGGCACAAAAATATCATGCAAAATAATATTTTGGTTCTAATTCCTTTGTATAATTATATGATGTGACCTTTTACAAGATTCTTGTTTAAAGTCACTGATTTTCATTAATATGGGGAGAAAGGAAAGGGAGCCAGCTGTTGTGCGTGCTTACCTACTATTTTGTCTAATCTGCATCTGCACCCTGAGGGACCGAGGACACCTTGCTGCAGAGGTGAGGATGCTGGGGCGCAGGCACACGTCTGGGCTTTGCCCGAGCTCTTACGTCCCAGACCCTGCACGTGGCCATGCTGCCTTGACAGACCTCATCTGCAGCTCTGTCTCTCACTTTTCTCAGTATTTTGGTGGTAGTGTCAGATCTGTGTGTTATCCATCCCGCTGCTTCCCGTGTGGCTGAGGATGTCCCTGGAAGAGGTCTGGAAACCTCCTCTGTTGACTGTGATGTACTGAGGCTGAAATGGAGGGACTAGGGACACCAGAAGTTTGTTCCTTTCTTTCACCAGTTAAGCTGGGACTTTGGGAGTGAAAACAAGGTATAGGATGGGAAGAACTGACTATAGATCGTGTTGAAGAATAGGTGGGGTTGCTATATTATGACCAGAATCAGGGATTTTTGGCTCTAGATCCACGTATCTTAGGGGGAGTGGGAAGAATGTGTTTGGGCACTTATCTTCTAATAAGGATTTTAAAGTGAAGAGGCCCTAAGTGTCTGTGCAAATGATGACTGCTGAGATCATTAAAAAGAAAATTTCAAGTGGAGGTATTGCCTAGTAATTCAGTATAAAAATAGGGTCTTTGAAAAATACCCTTCACCTTCTATGAATATATAACAGTGCATAGAATATGGGTTAAAAAGTAGGTAATAAACCTGGGAATTTTAAGTTCAGTAAATTAATGTGATATCATGTTATATCCCAGAGACTTGATAGCCTGGAACAGGGGTTGGCAAACTCTGGCCCTCAGGTTAAATTGGTCCTGTTGCTCATTTTGGTAAATAAAGTTTTATTGAAACACAGCCACACTCATTCATTTATGTAATGTCTGTGGCTGCTTCCGTCTTACTGTGGCAGAGTCTACTCAGTTGCCACAGAGACTGTATGGTCCACAAAGCATAAAATATTTACTATCTGATCCTTTAGAGAAATGGTTTTCTGACTCCTTGTTAAGAACTAGGGTGCCAGTATGGTGGCTACTAGCCACACAGGGCTGTTTAGAGTAAAATTAAATAAAAATTTACTTTGTCAGTCACATTTGCCACATTTCAAGTGCTCAATAGCCACCTGTGGCCAATGGCTCCCAAATTTGACAGCACAAATATAGAAGATTTCTATTATTGCAGAGAGTTCTGTCAGATAGCAGTGGTTTAGAACTTGAAGACATAGGTCTATGATAAAGGGATCTAAAGCATCTCAGGATATCAGGACTGTGCTGAAGGTGGAGGCGAGCCCCTGGCACTGCTAAGTAACTAAAAGGAGAGAAGCAGAAGTGATGTGATAATGAGAATATATTGCAGATCTACGCCCAGTTGAAGGAGTGGTTGAGAAGAGATTTTTGTACTATTACCATTTGCATTATGGCCGGGGTCTCAGGAATGCCCGCTTTCTGTTCTAGTGCTTATCCTACCCCTTCCCCAACGCTGTGAAGAACCAAGGGTTTCATCTGCAAGAATATCTAACAAACTTAGAATCCAGCTTTATTAATAGCTATGCAAGGGGCCTTGTGTTGCTGTGCATACTGCCCTGATAAAGCTTGGTTGAAGAATATAAATTTAGGGCAAAGGCCTAAGTGGGGTTTCCTCTTTCCTCAAATGAATCTACTTCTTGGAACCTGTGGACTCAGATGGGTCTGCAGGAGGATGTGAAGGACAGATCCCGGGAAAGGACTTGAATTCACAGATCTTAGTCACGTAAAAAAGAGGGAAGAAAATAGGTCAATGAGACGGACAGCCCTTAAAGCGGCTGGTGGGGGTCCTTCCAAATCAGCACCTCCTCTTCCTTATGAAGGAGAATCTCAGTGTTCTTCAAACTGTGGGATATGATCCATTTGTGGATTTTTAAATTGACTTAGGTAGAGGCAACCAACTAATTTAAAAAATGAATTAGAATAGATATAAAATGCCACAATGCATCTCAGATAGGAAGGATGACTTTTGTGTCAGTTCCCACACTCCCATACATGTGCTTACATACTGGGTTGTTTTGTGAAATGTATCTTACTGTGATCATAGAAAAAAAATATTTGAAAGTCACTGACCTAACCCAACCAAACATTATGTGATCTATGAATACCTTCTATAAATCCATAGCAAATAGTCATTCCACCTTATGGTTGATATTTTCAGTATGGTTAGTGAATTCATTATTTTATCTAAGGAAGAGCTAAAGAAAATAGAAATATACAGCCTGAGAGAGAAAAAAAATCAAAAGAAATCTACCATATCCACCAAAACTATCTTCACATATTCAAAGACTATCATGTGAAAGAAAGGACCTACTAACTAGTAGAAGTTTTAAAGAGGCAGGTTTCACCTTTCTTGCAAGGAGAACTTTTGAAGTTATTCTGCCCACCAGACCTGATCACATGGATATATGTAATAACACCTTGTCCAGACTCAACGTGTCTAGAAGGAAATCACTGTTACCTTTATTGTGTGCTACTTTAACATGAAGCAGGTATCATTTAAAAGTATCCCTATTGACAGGGCTCAGTGGTTCATGCCTATAATCTCAGCACTTTGGGAGGCAAAGGCAGGAGGATTGCTTCAGGCCAGGAATTCGAGACCAGCCAGGAAAACATAGCTGGACTTGTCTCTGTGGAAAACAGAAAAATTAGCCGGGCATGGTGGTGCGCGCCTGTCCTAGCTACTTGGAGGCTGAGGCAGGAGGATGGCTTGAGCCTGGGAGTTCGAGGCTGTAGTGAGCTATGGTTGTGCCAGTGCACTCCAGCTTGAGTGACAGAGTGAGACCCTGTCTCAAGAAGATAAATAAAAGTATCATTGTCCACATATTAACCTAGTTTGTACATTACAGGGGTCTCTGATCTGTCTTTCCTCCTTTTCTTCCACTTCCCATGTGTCATTATTTACCAGTCTTGGCAATGACACTTCTCTTGAGTCCTGCAGCCTCACACTGCCCCATGGCTGTCCGTCTCCTGCTTGCTCTCACACCTCTGTGGCTGCTTTCCTGCTGACATTGGTGGTATCTTTAGCACGTGTAGGAAGGGTCATTCAGGTCCCTGTTTTCTCTAGAATAACACTCCAGCCTCTTTAACAGTCCTAAATATTCTAGTCCCTTCTTTCCAACCCACATCTTTTAAGCTTTCCTCTTCCAGATCTTTTAGTGTCAGCCAGCAGTTGGTGTATGTCTCATGTCCTGGGCATGCTGGTCAGTTTTCTGCCTCTGCTCTTTGTTCTCACTGTTCCCTTTGCAGGGATGCTTTCTCTCTCCACCTTCCCTGCCAGGCAAAATCGTCACAATGACATGTTATCTCTTCACTGAAACCTTCTCTGATCCACCCTAGGTAATTTCCCCCAACAGAGTGAAGTGGTTTCTCTGTCTGGTTTATGGCGTTTGCTGATACCTCTGTTGTAGCACTTACACGTCAGGTGGCTGGGTGCAACCTGGTGTGTGTGGGGGCTCTGCACAGGAACCCTGAGATTCAGGATGTCAGTAAACTGCATCCTGTGGCCACAGAGTGGTGCTTAAGAATTTTGGCTCAGAAGTCAGATGGACCTGAATCTATTTCCAGGTCCCACCACTTAACAATTATGTAACCAGAGGCAGGTGGCTTTATCTCTCTGGGCCTCTGTTTTCTCATGAGCAAAATTAGCCTGACCCTGTCTGATTGGCTCATGAAGATGAATTGAGAGAATCCCTGAGAGGTCCTTATAGTTGACCTTGATACCTGATAAGCACTTACGAGCCATTAACTAGTGAGAGCTCACTTTTTCTCAGGGTTATGTCCCACAGTACTCATGTTGCTGAAATCACGTCATTTACTGTTACTCTACACCATTTTGTTTCTATAAGAAGACATATCTCACAGGGTCATTTTGAGGACCAGCTTTTTAACAACACTAGCTATATCTGCCAAGTTATTAATTATGACTGTGGACATTTTACTTGATTTTGAGTTCTTGGGGATATAGTGTATAACCATGATCCTGAAACATTTCTCCTAGCAGAACACCATTGCATGGTTCACCACTGTAAAATTGATTAGAGTTTTTGCCCAATTATAGCAAAAATAGTGGATTTTTGGATAGACTGTCTTGATGTTGCTTTTTTTTTTTTTTGCTTCTAATAACAGAAACTGTCTGTTTCTACCAAGCCCTAGCAATGAAAAATGGCATACTCTTATTAATGGAAACTGGAAGGCAGCCTGTTATGCTAAGGTTGCAATGTTGCACACGACCACTGTCATTAATTAATGTAACAGTACATAAAATGATATAGTATAACATAACATAAGGTAATATACTACAAACATTTATATTTTTCTGCTAATAAAGTATCTTAGTTCATATGATGGGATTGAGAATATCAGTGTTTCGTTGCTTTTCAAAGAGTATTGTGTCCCACTGAAAAAAATGCTACCTAAGTGTGAGAACACCAAGATATAATACCTGTCAAACAAAAAAGGTGCTTTATAGTACAAAATTTATAAGCTGAAGTGTAATTTTAAAATTTTTGTAAACATGTATCTGGTTTACTTCATCTTCTTGAATAATAGTGTGATTTTTTTTCTCTATGGCCCTTGATGTTTATATGCAGCTTGAAGAGAAATCATTGTCCTTTTTAAGGTTTAATGTTTTGCTTTAAGGTTGATTAATCATACAAAGAAACTAATGGAGAAAGAAGAAAAACTGTGCATTAAAATTCTTCAGACATTACGAGAAATGCTGGAGAAGAAAGACAGCTTCATGGAAGAGGTATTTTTTTTAAGACTTTTAATATTTGGAAATAAAGTAAGATTTCCAGAATACTGTAACCTATGAATTATAATAGGCTATTACGTGATTACTTGCATTATATATTAATGGTATATGTACTTAGATGAATTAGATAATTTTGGTTTTTATGGTATTAATCTCTTATGTCTTGTTTTGAATTAAGAAGTAACTAAGATTAGAGTTGCCTAAATATTTGGTTCATTTGTTTTATTACATTCTGTCTTGGATATGTATGTTTTCCTTTTTTGGCTTCAATGGACCAAATGACCTTTTTAAACAATGAGTGATTGAGACACACTATTTAGATTTTGTATAAAGTTCTGCTGGCATATTGAGAATGCCTATGCATTTTGGCATATGTTGATTTTTTATTTTAAATATATATTTATGTTATTTTTGATAATATCATGTCAAATATTATAAAATAATACTATTTTTAATAAATGGAATAGTCAGTTTCTATTCTTAACTATATTAACTTGAGATTGCAGAAACAATTTCCAGGGAAATATCAATTTATAGATAATAACTGTCAGTCTGTTATTAAAAATGACAGCTCAGGTGCTCATTAAGAGATAGCTAGCAGCATGTTTAATACCCAACGTGATACACTTAAATATAAAATATAAATCTAGAGAATTTTTTTTTTTTAAGCTAGCTAGCTATACTTTTATGCTAGGTGTCAAACAAAATTTGTACTATGCTCCTTAATAACTTTTTGGTCTGTTTCGGTAAATACAAATCGTCAGATATTTTAAAACTAGAAGGATTTTATTTATTAATTTGTGTCTATGCTGTCTAATTCTGAATAGATTATAGTGGTTAGGTTTTTTTAAAATACATTTCTGTAGAAAAGAGATACAGTGAAATCTGGATATTAATAGAAGGGGCATTGGTTCAAAATACTCCATTTGAATCAGATATTTGTTTCAGTAATAAAAATGCCTTATGCTTTACATTAGTTCTCTTCATCATTTAAACTATATTTGGAAACAAATGATCAAAATAAAGGTGGTCAGTGCAATTTTAGCAAATGTTTCTCTGATGTGGGACTCAGGAAAATGCTTCTAAGTTCGAGTGTACGGTATGCTTTTTGAAAATGGTAAATGGAGTTCCTTAGGACTTTTTGCTGTCTTTCTCTGATTTCTTAAACTATTGCCATAGATTGTTTGATTTTGACAGAGATATTGGATCCTAAAGTAGAAACATGAGGTCAATATACATTTTGACAGAAGGTGAAGTTTACAATAACAGAGACTTGTGTTTAATTGGAGATATACGATAAGCCTTGCATTTTTATGTAACAAATTATTATGGAGTTACTCTAAAGGAAAATAGAAAAGAAATCAAGTAAGATTTTACTTTGACGAGTCAAGAGTATTTTTGTGTATCTCCCACACCTTCTAAAATAAATCACTGGTTTTTTCCTTTCCATTCCCACTGCTATCATTAGTTGAGGCTTTCATTATCTCTTGTCTAGAAAACTCCAGTAGTTCAGTTCCCTAAGACTGCACTGCTTTCTTGAGGGGCAGCAGGGCTGCTGTGTTCACAGCTCCGAGGGGCCTCATTCATATGAAATATGGTGTGAATGGTGCCCCCAAGACACAGTCCTCAGGGAAAAGTTGAGATGAGAAAAGCTAGTTGTGGGTCATTCATTTAGTCACTCAACACATAGGTTTTGAGCAACTATTAAATGCCAGTGATTGTGCCTGGGCACTGGGGATGTGGAGATGAATGACACAGCTTGCCAAGAGCCACCAAGGGGTACAATTCATATGCTAGTGGATCCCTGTAACAGTCTAGGCAAGACATCACGAGAGCCCTTCAGATACCTTCAGGGGCTCTGCAGTGCCTTGATGTTGCAGACCCTCCATTTGTCCTCTCTGCTTTCCCCCCACCGCATCCTTCCTTATCCGTTAGCCTCCGGAAATGTGTGTTACTCCATATGCCTATGAGGTACCTCAGGCTCTTCCTTCCCCGAACTTGCTCTGTCTGGAATCCTAGATTGCTGAAATCCAAACAAGCCTCAGTATCCCGGTGTTAACCTTTGTGGAGGAGCTAAGGGATTGTCCTTATCAATTGTTCCAGCAAGAGGTGATTTCATTCTCAGTAGAATTTCCAAAGGACTTCATGCCTCTCTTTTATGACACTTTAGGCTGCATCTGGTATTTAGTTCAAGTTCCTTATTTTAAGCTGTCACTGAGTCCCAGAGAGGTTATGTGATTTGCCCAAGATGACACAGCTACAGCCAGAACAGGGCTTTAATTGGCACTCCTTCCTCTCTGCCTAATCTTCTTATTTCTTAGTCATAGGCAACTTTTACAAATTTTGTATTTTGCTGTTAATAAAGATTAGTATACTTTGTCTAGCAGGTTCATGGCTCCAAATTTTAAGACACAGGTGTACAGAGTATAAGACAGAATATAGCATCCACCCTAGGTAAAGGTTTAGATAAACCTCTAAGAAGATATTAAAGATGCAGTCATTTAACTAAGGAAAGAAAAACCTGAAAAAAGACATATAAGTATCTAATTTCTTAATTTCCATGTCTACTAAGGACACAATAAGAAAAAAAATTGTAGCTGAAAGAATTCTAGCTCTTAGACAACTTCTTAATTCTAAGTATTTTGGAATGAGAAGCATTTCTACCAGCGGAAGCAGGAGACTCCCCCTCCTCAAGGAAATTTAAAGAGAAACAGATGGAGAATGGTTCACATACCTACACTGGGAAAGACAGGGCCAGTTGATCTCTACATGTTGTCAGCTGGCCCTTAAACAATTGGTGCTCAATTATCCATGCCAGTGGAGGAAGAGCTAAATGATTCACCAGGCTGGGTGAAATAGCATTGGGTAACAGATTTAGAAACTGCTCAGAGATACTACTGTGTAACTCAGGGTGGGCTCTAAGGAAAAACTCTGATTATCAGTAGTGGGATAATAGGTGGCTATGTTTTCATGATTGTATTAGTTTCCTATTTACAAACCACTTAGTGGCTTGAGACTACATAAATTTATTATCTTATAGTTTTGGAGGTCAAAAGCTGAAAATCAAGGTGTCAGCAGGGGTGTGTTCCTTCTGGAGACTGTAGGGGAGAATTCATTGCCTTGCTCCTTCTAGCTGCTAGAAGGCCTTGGCGAGTGGCCCCACCGCCCTCCATCTTCAAAGCCAGCAACATAGCATCTTCTTCTCTTCCTCCCACCCTCTTTGTCTCCCCTCACCCTTGTTTGTCCCCTCTCCCCCAGTTGTCACATCTCCTTCTGCTCTGATGCTCCTGCCTTCCTCTTATAAGAACACTTGGAACCACCTGGATGATCCAGTATAATCTCCCCATCTCAAGGTCCTTAACTCAGTCACGTCTGCAGAATTCCTTTTACCATGTGAGATAACATGTCTACAGGTTCTGGTAACTAGGCAAGAGAGCATGAGGATGTGGGCATCTTTGGAGAGGGTCATTATCCAACCTACTACAATGATCCTTTTATTGACAGTGAGAAATGACATCTGTTGTGTAGATGCAGAACTTAGTTGTGGCTGATTAAAATTACTATATAGGGCAGATTAAATGGGAATGAATATAACAAAAATGCCTGGAATTTATAGCACTTTGATGTTTTCAAAATATTTTACTACCTTTTATCAATTCTAGGAAGTACACAGAGCAAGCAGTGTTAACTCCACATTGCAAATGTAGCAAAAGAGACACTCAGAGAAGTGAGTTACATAGCTTACATAGTACTTGGTCCTCTCCTACCTAATCAGCTAGATTTCTACTATCTGTCTCTTGAAGCATTCCTGAGAGATTTATCAGAATTAAATAAAATCAGGAAACTCACACCAGGGTTTTTCACACTAGCTATCCTAATATTACATTTGAGACTCCACCTATATAAATTTAAAATGTCAGCTTAAAGGAAAATCTCCATTTTCATATCCTTGGTCCCTGACACCAGAAGCTCTGTGTGCGTTTGTGTGTTTTAAGCTGGTAAAAATTTAAAAATAAGGCAACCAAGCAGAAATTTGCTTCATAGTGGAACCAAATGTCCTTTAAAGAAATATATTAAGGATATGTGGTGTGACTACATATCTAGTACTCAATTATTTTTTAAAACTTTATAATTTATAATACCTTTGAGTACAATTTTTAAATTCATTATACTTAGGAATATTCTTCCTTGCTTTATGTTCCTCAATTTGTACCTAAAAACCAGAGAGATAAGATGTGGGTAGGCAACATCTTAAAGATTCTTGAAAGAATAATATTAATAAAGGAAAATTTAATTTTTTGTTATGTGTTTCTATGTGTGAAATCATCTAGGGATCATATAGTGACTTAAGCTATAGTACTTGTTTTTATTGAAGGATAAAACATGAAAATCGTGTATAGAAAGTCCTTAAGGGGAAAATTACCTGAGTCAGTTTAAGAAAAACTCAGTTAAAGTATTATTTGTTTAGGTGATTGTGATAGAAAAGCAACAATTCACGAAGGATATAACTCTAAAAACTCTAACAACTTTGAAAGCTCGCGATTCCTTTGGGATTGGTCATATTTAAAGGGCTTTTTTTTTTTCTGACTTTTAA